ATGCAGTATTTTCTGTGCACTACGTGTAATCATCATCTGCTCGTATTTTTATACTGAACATTAACCTCTTATTAAACGTGCGATTTAACTCGTTCGAATTATACGCTTCTCATCCCATTTCTGCCAATATTTACACTAACTAGATACCTACGATATGTATTTTTTAGTGTTTCATAAAAATAAAAAAAGACGTGTGGCACACAATTACAATTAGACAATAATAATTTAATATTAAAACAATAATAAAAATAAGACCACGCTACATTTATAAACATTAACAAAAGCAAAACATTAACTGTCCCCTTCACACTCATAAGCTAGACCGCGTGAGAGAGAGATGGGCAGAGTTTTCATGATGCTCATGCAGTGCGACGTCACGCCGCGCGCTTATTCACAAACACTACACTAGCTCAACGTGTGAATGTGTTGAACGCGAGCTACATAGTAGGCGTAGTGGGGGTATCAGGTTATTTTCGTTACGGAATTTCTTGATTCAGTCGCCGCGCTCAAGGCCCGCGATAGAAGCTATGCAATAGCTTAAAAATAAAATCGATTGATATGATTGAGTAAAAATCAGTTAGCTAGAAACTTCTTAATTTTATACCAGGCAAAGAGCCCCCAAAGGTAAATTATGTTAAAAGACAAGTTTATTTATAACATTAGCTATAGAATGAAGCACCGACTTAATTAGAGACAAAGTCAACTTAAAACCGAACAAAGAGAAAAGCGAAGGGAGCAAAATATGTTGAATGTATAAGAACACAACTTGATTGGTCATATTTCGGTAGAATTTAGAAGATTCGTAAAAATAAATTTGTAGATTCCGTTTAAAAACAACTTTGATGATTGAATTTATTATTCATTGTTTATAATATATTTCGACACCAGCCTTAATCCTATTTAGAACTTAAATACATTACTTAAATAAGAACTTAAATACATGCTAACATAAACGAAATGTCGAAATTTCGTAGCGACATATTTCGAACAAATATTGTTTTATTGAAAAAAAAACAAGTAAACGAAGTTCTTTTCCTTCTATTTATAAAAAAAATATGTAATTTACACATTGAATATAACAATTTATGGAAATATTTTTTATAAAGTGTTGAAATTCCCGTCAAAACGGGCACTTTACACTGTCGTTATTTGTACCATTATTTTGTTTCATCTAGTATAATGTAATGCAACACAGTCGAAGAATCTGAATGTTCATGATAGAAGTGAATGATGGTTGGATTAAAAAATCTGTGTGATGATCTGAACTAGATATTACGTAATTGGTATTGTGATTTTGCTATGACATTGCTATGATATGATATGACATATTTGCTAATTTTACGCCGTATTACCAAAATCTTCAATACGTGCGGTTTCAACATAGATCTAATCGTACATGGTCGAATGAGTTCATGGCCACGGGGCCTACAGTACTATTGCCCACCTTGAGACCTGAATTCGAAAAATTAATTGCTTATTGAACTATAGCTGTCGTGACGTCAGGAAATACGTAAATGAATATAATTATGTAACCGACAGTGTTAATGTAGTTTATTTTTAGTTCTATGTTTACTAATGGTGGTCATTTCTAGGTCTGTGACGTAATTACAATAATTGTTATGCAATTTGGCTTTTACGTTAATTATTATTATAGTAACGGGCACGATAAATTTTAATATTCTCGTTTATACCGAGAAAAGAAAGACATTCGTCTCTGTGTCCTACCTAGTGCCATAACTGATTAACGTTTTTTTTTATTTCACAACATAGGTATATGAGCTCACGACCCACTTGGTATTGAAATGGTGGAACTAAAAAAAAAAACTGTAAATGTAAACTAAATTTAAACTGTAAATGTCTAACACATAGACATTTACAGTTTAAATTCCCCTAGTTGATCATCAGTAGTAACAGGCGTAGTCGAATCGGAAACTATGGTCATAGTCGCATTTATATTTAAGTACAAGCGTAATTGAATTGAAACAAGTTACAGTAACGTAACTCTTACGGCTTAAAATGACAAATTAGTAGTACAATGCTACTTTTACGTTGTTGATGACTCAAAGAAACTAACAAAGATGTTGATACGCAGGTAAAATACTGTGAAAGATATTTCTCAAGATATTAAATTGTCAGTGAAGAAAATCAAAAAAGCAGGCTGACGTATTCCTTAAAAGGCTATATGCAAGGTGCTTTTTGGGACCTCGCCTTTAGCTACTGCTGGACATAAACCTCCCGTTTTTATGCTATAACTTGTGATCGCCTGCCATTCTTCATCCATGTCTGCCCCCCCCCTATCTACGAGTCAAACATGGATGTAAAATCCCCCAACCTTAATTGGGAACACCCAAAATAATCTCTGGGGATTTCAATATAGCGGCACATCAAAATATTTCATCTGTGAGCACGTAAACTGGAGTATTCTAAGGAACGAAAATAATACGAGTATAATGTCTTTAAAAAACGCCACACGCGACATTAAAAACCTTAAAACTAGTTTTAAATACATCTGAAATTCGCGAAAACCGAAGAAAATGCTATCTAATATTTTACTATTGTTTTTTTGCACTGTACATAATGTATATTCCACAATTGATAGGATCTGTATGTGTTCTCGAGAGAAGGAGGGGAACGGCTGTCAGTTACACCCGCATTACATATTATACGATGAAGGAATAACATCGTGTAACAAATCAATTCGGTTAAAATTTGCGCACCAACTTTTTTCTCTGTTTTTGGATAGATCCCACCATTCTGGCTATTTCAATGTTGAATAAGGAATAACATCGTTTTTTTTATTGCTTTGATGGGAGGACGAGCTCACACCTCCTGCCCACCTGGTGTTAAGTGGTTACAGGAGCCCATAGACATCTACAACGTAGATGCGCAACCCACCTTGAGATATAAGTTCTAAGGTCTCAAGTATAGTTACAACGGCTGCCCCACCCTTCAAACCGAAACGCATTACTGCTTCACAGCTGAAATAGGCGGGGTGATGGTACCTACCCGCGCGGACTCACAAGAGGTTCTACCACCAGTAACAAATCGTACAACAAATCAATTCGGTTAAAATTTGCGCGATTACTTTTTTCTGTTTTTGGATAGATCTTACCATTCTGGTTATTCGTAGGGTATAAGGTAGAGTTTCCATTACTACAATACCAAGGTAAGTTTTACCTCGTGTCCCAAAATGGGGGTCTATGGGCTCTAGTAACGACTAAGCGTAAGGTGAGCCTGTCGATTTGCATTAGGTTAAAGAGTCATTAAGAATCATTTTAATATTCTCTATGACTGCGGCTTCTGACAAATATGAGCATTATTTTGATTCAGATCGTGCGATTCTACTCTAGCCCGATAACTTATTTTTTTTAACTTATGGAATGGTTTCTTTTAAAGTGTCAACGAACCGTTGCCCACAAACTCTTGTGGATCCACAATACTTCTATTCTTCATGCTGTTGCCGCCACCAACATATTATCAATCTCGTACATTTTACATTTTTACATATTTACAAAACAATCCAATCACTTTGACATTTACTAAGGAAAGTTATATAAACATTGATACCGTTAGTAATGTGGCCGAAATTTTAATTGCACTGAAATATTTATTAAAACGCTGACACTGTACTCGGTCAGATTGTTCGAGTCACGTGACAGCCAATTAGCTCGTTAAAACGCGCGATTACTTTTTGAAATATAAAAAATTTGCTTGACACCGATGGATATAATAAAACTTATCTAGTTCAAACGTTTCGCGAGCAATAGTGGCATAAATGTTCTTGTTTAGTTTAAAAAAAAAAAAGGTTTCGCCTACTTTCAAAAACCAAAGTTGCTTTGACATTATATGATAATATCACTGTTATTACATTATTTCTATATTTGCTGGATAATTAATGAAAAGTAAATTATTAATACTGGTTTTTTTTTAGATTTCACTAGATATGACTATTTTTGTGGTGTCCATAGCTTTTTATTCACAAATTTTACCTTGGCGTTATTTTCTCTCTTTTTAGATGGCGATTTAGTACTAATTTAATGAAAAGAAGTCTCCTCTAAATCTATAAGCAAACTATATCACATTTATTTCATAAAGCTCCTTTGATTTACTTCGTTAATTACTTTGAGAATCACCTTAACATTGCTTACAAAGTTACTTGATTTCATTTAGACTGAAGTAATTTCTGTGCGAAGTAAAATTAATTTCTAAGCTTCCTTTTTAATTTCCTTTTTGAAAAGTTAGTTTTCCAGTTATCTGTTTTATCTAAGTAGCGTTAACGTCTATTGGTTCTTTCAAATCAGACATATAAGGAATAGAATCTCTTTTTAATAATATTTTTATAAATTACTAGCGGCCCGCTCCGGCTCCAGTCGTGTCTTTAACAAAAATTTCAACGATATTTGACGTTTTTTTTTATTTTTTAAAATAAAAGAACACTTATTGCGGCATACCTATAGTAGTCAGAAATATGCTGTTGCGACACTTTTTTTAATAAACTAAACTAATAATAATGTGTTCTATAAAGTCGTAGTACATTATTTTATTCTATCATCAATAGTTTTCGTAGGGCACGCGATGTAAAGAATATTTTAGGTAATTTTTTTACACCGTGGGTTTCATTATTGGGATTTTAGTAAGGATCCCTAATTTTTTTTAAAAAGGTTATTGCCTATGTCACTCGGGAATAGTGTAGCTTCCAAACAGTGAAAGATTTTTTCAAATCGGTTCAGTAGTTTCGGAGCCTATTCAATACAAACCTTTCCTCTTTATAATATCAGTATAGATTCAGTAAATATTTTTCGCCCGTTTTTTCTCTGGACATTTCAATATTTGTTTTTAATATTTGAATATGCAAGATGTATGTACTGTATAGGTTGAGCTCCTTTAAAATTTACATAACCGAAAAACAATCATGTAACTGCTTTTGGAACGGTTCCAGAATTCAAGGAATTATTAAAGACACCTAGATCCATTACTATAACATAGAAGAATTATCGTACCAAGTCTTCATCGTCGTCAGTGAATATGTTCGCTCTGTCTTCGGTACTCATGGCTGCGTTTCAAACATCCAATGCACGCACAATTCATCCATGGCTCACCGGCGAAACACATGAGCCATCATTCATAAACACAACAACTGCATCCGAAGAATCTTAATACTGAACGCAACATTTGACATCTGGCACTAAAAATAAGTCGTGAAATGAATATCGAATTATTTTCGATTTCCGAATTGCCAATTGTTAGTTCGAACGCGTCAAACGAATGGTACGCGAGTTTGTGTGTTTTCTATGAGACGTAACCGGGTGCTCCCTTTGAAGTAGAATCGCTGACTGCGGCTGGTAGCGGCGAGGGCGGGCAGCGGAGGCACTGCAGCGTCTCGTTGCCATAGTAACCGAAAGGTTTTCGCACAACTTGATACGAGAAAATACGATATGCATTTTTCTAGACAACTAGTGGTCTCGCGGTAGTCGAAATTCGACAATAATTAATTGAAATTATAAGCTTGTACACTGTTATGATTCTATTGTCAAAGATTATTTTACTTACGTAATCACAGATCTCGCCAAGACTACACTTTAGACAAATATTAATAATGACAATCAATATATAATCTCTTCTCAATTTGACCATAGATTATAAGCAATAAGAAAAGTTTAACAATTAGCATGCATGTGTGTGTCAAATACATGGTAGGTGTGTAATGTTTTTTTTATTGATTTAATGTATATTTTATGCATTATTTAAAAAAAATATTAGCATTGTGCACTTCTTCTCTATATTCTCTATAGGTGTGGAAAATTTCATACTCCTCCGTCCGCGCAATTTTCGTAAAAAGGGATACAAAATTTTTGCTTCACGTATTAATATGTAGATAACCGACACGGGAATTGAATTAGGGTGTACATAGCAATGTGCACATGCAATTCATGCGTATGAAAAGCTGTTGAATATTAATGAAAAGTGCAATTGGATTCGTATTTTTCCTCGTACTACGTGTATAAGTGTATAAATCTGCTTACTGATCATGTTTTTATGTGTGTGTTTATGTTCATTAATGGCCGCATGCTTTTGAAATACACAGATAAGTCTTTCTTGATAATTTTAAATTGTAACCCGACTAATTTTTTTTCGAGTCACACTTTTACCAGAATAAAGTTAAATTTACTTTTCCATTTTCCGAATAGAGTGTAAATATTGAAAACGTTTAAAAAAAACAGTTTTAATAATTTCATATAACCACTCTTTTTTTTCATAATTTTTGAGAGAGTCTTCTAGTTTCTAATTATCTTACCTTGAGAAAAGGTATCCGGCATTTATTTATGAAGCTTATTACGTTAGTTAATCGATAAAGTTAAAAGGATATCGGCGCTTTCGTGATATTGTATTTAAACACGCAATGTATTAAACAATTAATTGGGTTTCTAATTTTTCACTTTAGCGCTTTTCGGTATTATTATCTTTATGGTGAAATGTTTTACATGGCTATAGGGTAAACAAGACTTTTTATTACACAATAAAACAATTGTTCCGTTTCCACAAGAAATAAAAATAATAAAAACTTTTGACTTAATCTGGATACAGTTGCTGCTTGATTTACTTACAATATTAGATTATGGGGAACGTATTTCTTAAGAAGAGACTTAGGAGTAAACCTTATATAATATTACTGGTTATTTTTTTACTGGTGGTAGGACCTCTTGGGAGTCCGCGCGGGTAGGTACCACCACTCTGCCTATTTCAGCCGTGAAGCGATAATGCGTTTCGTTTTGCAGGGTGGGGCAGACGTTGTAACTATATAGAGACCTTAGCACTAATCTCAATATGGGTGGCGGCATTTACGATATAGATGACTATGAGCTTCGGTAACCACTTAACACCAGATGGGCTGTGAGCTCGTCCACCCATCTATGTAATAAATAAATAAAAAAGACGTGTGACACTCGGGGACTGCCGCAGTAAAGCTATTGCAAAGCATTTTTTATCAACTTATGCAATTACAATTAGACAATAATAATTTAATATTAAAACAATAATAAAAATAAGACCACGCTATATTTATAAACATTAACAAAAGCAAAGCATTAACTGTCCCCTTCACACTCATAAGCTAGACCGCGTGAGAGAGAGATGGGCAGACTTTTCATGATGCTCATGCAGTGCGACGTCACGCCGCGCACTTATTCACAAACACTACACCAGCGTAACGTGTGAATGTGTTGAACGCGAGCTACATAGTAGGCGTAGTGGGGGTGTCAGGTTATTTTCGTTACGGAATTTCTTGATTCAGTCGCCGCGCTCAAGGCCCGCGATAGAAGCTATGCAATAGCTTAAAAACATTGATTAATAATTTACAACTACTAGGAGTAGCGCGTTCCATATGCACGTTTAAAATCAATTTGACTATAGATTTTTTATTTTCACTTATTAAGAATTCCGTTTTGAATACGGATAACGTTAAGTCGTAAAGCGAAGTTAATGTCTTCGTCTACGACTCGTATAAAGCTCACACAACAGAAGTTATTGTAGAGCTTGGTAATAAAGTGAACCGTCACTATCTGACAGGAAAATAAGTTTAAAGATATCTAATGTTTTTAATACGCTTTAATTAGCTTCAAACGCATGTATGTTAGTATGTAACGGAATCTTTGAAGATGATTTTGACCCCTTTCAAAACGTCTGATTTTGGTATACTTATTAAAGACCGATGACAACTCGATATAAAAAAAATTGAAATTCAACTAAAAAATGAAAAATAAATACTAGTTTAAAAAAACTAACCAAATACGCTTTTATAGAAAATCCAACTAAAAAATAATAAATAAATATTAATAAAATTTAATTAAAAATACTGTAAGAAAAAATGTTTTATTATAAAAAAAAAGCGTGGCGCGCATGGTATCAGTAGTTTTATAAATATTTTAATCTTTAGTTGGATCTTCTATAAAAGCGTATTTTGTTAGTGTTTTCAAACTATTATTTATTATTTTATTCAATTTTTAGAACGATTCGCTTCACAGCACTAACACTAGTCGATTATTACGAACACTGCACCGGCGTTCTCTCAACAAGCTCGAGGGTGCTATATGTCCTCAAATCTGTGATTGCAGCCCGACGGCGCACTCATATGGATGAACAAATTACCAAGCGTAGATTGGGACATCAAAATCAAAAAGCATTTATTTATTTATTGCTTAGATGAGTGGACGAGCTCACGGCTCACATGGTGTTAACCCACCGGAGCCCATAGACATCTACAACGTAAATGCGCCATCCACCTTGAGATATAAAGTTCTAAGGTCTCAGTATAGTTACAACGGCTGCCGCACCCTTCAAACCGAAACGCATTACTGCTTCACCGCAGAAATAGACAGACAATTTAATTCTAACGGCTTTTAAATATACATACCTAAGAAAATTTAAGCTTTTCTATCAGGATGAGTGATCCATGAGCTCCATAGCCACTTAACATCAGGTAGGAGCTTATCCTTCTTCTAGCTGTTTTGATGTCGTCAAAAACGGTTAATATAACTGCATTTTACAAAATCATTTTTTACCGATAAAGTAATAACTGCATTAATCATAAATCAACCGTTATCCAGACAGCAGTAAATCTAATTATTTCATCGAATTTATTATTGGTGTTAGAGCATCTCGTGAGCCCGTACGTATAGATATAATAACCCTCCCTATTTCTGTCGTGAAGCAGTAATGCCTTTCGGTTTGGAGGGTGGCGCAACCATTATACTGTAAAACTGCGACTTAGACCTCATATTTCAAGGCGGGTGGCGGTATTTACCTTGTTGATGTCTATGGGCTCCGATGGTCACTTAACATCAGGTCGGTAGTAAGCTCGTCCACTAAGCAACCCAATCTAGAAATAAAAATAAAATCGTACTAAAACTGGACAAGAATTTCGTTTGAATGTACACATTATTTCATCTTTAGCCCCTCGGAATTCATTATCCCTTATTTTTTAATGGGCCGAATTCCACCATTGTTTCACGCTGAATTGAGAGGAAATGACGACAAAATAACCGTTTTGTGTCCCTACAATGCGAAGATTTAATTGCTTTATGTGACGTTTTGAAAAAAATTGCCTTCAGTGCTTTACCACATTATTGTTAATGAGAGAATTGATGTAAGCTTAAGGTTTCTTTCGAGAAGTAAACGAGTCAGGACCTTCCTGGTAATAAGTAGTCAGCGCCCATTGTCTTCAAGTCCACCTGATACATAAGATTGGAGTTCCAATGGCGTTGTATATCAGCTATCTTTAAGCCTTTAAACCGAAACGCATGATTGTTTTACCGTAGAACTATGCACGACAGTGGTATTTGTGGGCTCCAGAGACACATTGTGGGCTCTGAATTAGTCCAGCCGCTACTGAATCGTCAAATTTTACTAGCCGATGCTCTGAGAACGTAGCTGATGACACCAACGAAAAAAACAATTAGAGTAGATAATACGATATTCTATTCTAAGCTGACACCGCCCATCAAAAAATTACTAAAAGCCAAATATATAGTTAAGTAAAAGTATCCAAGTTCTTGGAAGATAATGCTTACGGAGTTTTCTTCTCTTTTTAGAATTATCGTTTCCGGTAAAATCTCAGATATTTAAAGCCTTATTCATTGTTCTTTGTCTTTACGATGTTGATAAGACACGAGCCTGTGTTCTAAAGGGAAAATGTGTACTTAATTGAGAATTTTGGAAACTGTTATATAATGTAAGTATAACACGATTAAATAAATAATATAGTATGAATAAGAAAAGTATTGTTATTTTTCAAACGAGGCTTGTGGAGAGTATTAAGCGGTGGGTAGCGGCTTGGCTCTGCCCCTGGCATTGCTGAAATCCATGGGCGACGGTAACCCCTCACCATCCGGTGGGCCGTGTGCTCGTTTGTCTACACGGGCAATAAGAAATAAAAAAGTACTTATTAATTAAAACTGCTATTACAGCTATTTAAGCATGCGATTTTTATCGTCAGTATATCACGAGTATTTCTGGAGTTTTACTGTTCACAGTGTTAGGAATTCGTCCAGGAGTC